CAAAAAATCACACTTCGTACAATGAGGAGATTTGGAGCAATAACAGTTTCACTCAAGCACACAGTCTTTCATTGAATGTACACACGCGAAATAAAAGTTTCAGTTTTTTTCTTTCTAAAAATAAAAAAAAATTTTTATTCTTATTAAATAAAAAATACTTGGAAAATACTTTCGATTTAAATGAATAAAAAAAATTTGAATTCATTTTTCTCTTAAATAAAAATTTTAATTAACTTTATTAACTATTTAATACGTTTTTCTATTAATAAAAACCAAAGGCAGAATAATTGAAAATTACACTAATTTTTAAATAGAAAAAACATTAATATTTTTTAAAAATATTAAAATTATTAAAAATTTTGAAAATACTTAAAAAAAAATAATAAGAATAAAAGTATAAAAAATATAAAATATTTTAAAAATATAAAAATATAAAAAATATTTATAAATAATTTTTCTGAAAATATTATTCGAGGGAAATTAAAATTATTAAAAAAACGTATAAAAAAACCCTTTGGTATTTCGTGTGTGTGTTTTTTTTCATAGACGTTGCAGTCTTGGAATAACAATAAATATTTTCATACAAAATGAGTTATTTTTCTTTCTTCTTTGCTAAAATAAGTTTAGGTCCCGATGACAAGTCGCATGAGAATCGCTTCACGAGACGAGGAAATTATTATTTACTTGAAAACAGTCTCAAAAATTGTCGATACACTCGACTTTTTAGAAAAAAAAATATTGAGAGATTGTCAAAAAACGACTGACTAAATTCATCATTCACTCGAAAAAATTTTTGAATTTAAATGCACATTTTTAAATGCAATTATTTATTTTTATTCATTATTCCGTCAATTTCCAATTAAGAAATTTTGATTTTTTTTAAGGAGATTTTTTTTTTGTTTCTAAGGAAAGAAAGAAATTTTTTTGTACACGAAAAAAATTTTTGTTTAATTTGAAAATTCTTTTTTTGAAAAAAAATATTAAATAAATTTATACAAATTCAAAATTAAAAAGCTAAGTAAATTTTTTATTTATTTATTTAACAATATTATCGGACTAGATGCTTTTTGTGAATTTAAACAAATATTTAAAAATAACTATTTTTAATAAATATTAAAAAATATAGTAGAAAAAATATTTAAAAAAATGTTTTTAAAATAAAAAAAATTAATTTGAAAAAGATTTAAAAAAAAAAAAATTTTTTTTCATTCGAATGCACTTTAGTTTAGCATTCAAGTTTTTCAATATTGACGTTTTCAACAACTCATCTCATAGAAAGCTGATGGATTTGAAAAAATTATTTTACCAGAATAAACAATAATTATTTGTCGAACAGAATTTTTTTCTAGTGCATTTTTTTTTTCTCTTCCTTCTTTTCATGATTTTTGTTAGAAAAAAAAATCATATAAAAGTTTAAATATTTGGTACATTTAGAAGTTTAAAAATGTATTTAAAAAATTGAAAAAAACTTTTTACATTTAATTAAAAAATTTCTCCAGTGTAACTTCAATCGAAAAAGAAAAATTGCCTTTACACTGTAGAATTTTTTGTTCTCTAATTTACATTTAGAAAAAAAGAATATTTTTTAAAAATGTTTTTTAGGGTAAATTTACAGATCAAAATTTTTTTTTTTATCAAATTTTTTGTCTAATTTTAAAATCTAATTATTGGAAATATTTTTTTAGAAATACAAGAAAAAAAATGATATATGAAAGGGGAAAAAAATTTTTTTTTTGTCGCCTTGAAATCTAATATCACAGAATTACTATCATTTTGTCAAAAATTTAGCGACATTGACGTTTGAAAGAGACGAAATAATATTTTCCATGGCTCATGCTCGTAGAGAGAATTTAACGATGCCTAAAAATTGTTCGAGATTGGTTCGTACGCACTGGAAATATTTGATGAAAGAGAGTAAAAAAGGGGGATTCAAACGTCGAGAAAGAAAATTCGCAATCGTCAACGAGAGGATCGTGCCTAAAATTTCAGTTTATAGAATATAGGTGAAATTGTGTGAGGAGACAAAAAAAAAGAGTTTTTGTGGATATATTCACTTGGGTAAAAAATTTTCAGACTTGCGCCCGGAAATGAAAAAAAACTCTCTCTTTTTTCACTCTCAATAAACGTCTCCTCGCGATTCTCTCCTTTTTTTTTAATTAATTTCACTGCGTCGGTTCCACATTTATTTATATACACTTGTATAATATAAATATACACACATTCACACATACAGAAGGAAAACCGAATTTATAATATATTTTTTTTTATATTCGTATTTGCTTTTTTGTAATTCATCTTCAATATATAAATTTTTTATTGTTTTTTTTTTGTATATATTTTTAATTTTTTTTTTTTTTGCTTTATTTTTCATTCGCACAAAAAAAAACCCTCAATTCTTACGCAATTAGTCATTTTTGAAAAAATATCGCTGTACAATGGGAATATATTTTACAGTTTTCAAGTTTCTTATTTTTATTTTTTATTAAATTCCATCAAATATTATTGACCCCGTCGAGAAAGATTGAAAATCGACCAAGAGACGAATTCATCATTATTTCTTATTTGAAGAACAAAAAATTTATGTATAAAAATTTCGTGGGTAAAAAAGGGAAAGTTAAAAATTATTAAATAAAAGTTGGCACTCTTTAAAAATTCGATTCATTCGAAATTAAGTGGCAGTTTTTTGTCAGATATGTTTTTTTGTAACACATAATGATCAGCTGAAAAAGTTCTATAGAATTTTACTAGAATCATTCTATATGAATTCTAGTGAATATTTTAAAGAATTTCCCTAGAATAATTCTATAGAACTTCTACATGAATTCTACTATAGTGATTTTTAATTAGACAGAATTTAAATTTTTTGCTTTAATTTTTTACTTAAAAGTATAAATTAAATTTTTTCATAACTATAAAACATGAAGAAATCGATCACTCCGAGTCTACGACTCGGTTTTATCGATTTCTTCATATTTTATAATAATTAAAAATGGAAAATTGATAAAATCATTATTTTACATTATAAGAATATTTTACTTCTTCAAAATTATTTTTATCATTTCATTTCAATTCAATTATTTTTTAAAAGAATTTTTCACTAAAATTTTTCTTTACATCAATTAATTTTCAAAAAAGTTCTACAATTTTCAAAATCCATTTATTTACAATATTCAATTTTACAAATTTGAATTATTCGTAAATTCTTCAATTAAATATAAAAGTAGAAAATAAAAAACTTCAAATAATATTAAAAAAATTCAATTACACTTTTTAAAAAAAAATAATTTTAAAATTCAATTATTTCTAAAAATTCACGCTATATTGCTTTTAATATTCAATTATTATCTAAAATTTTAACTGAAATTCATTTTTAAATCAATTTTTATTAGAAAATTCTATTAGAATTTAATTATTTAAATACAAAAATAAATTTATTGAACAATTGAATTTTTCTTAAAATTCAAAATTCTCATAAAGAATTTTACTAAAATATTTTAAAATAATTGAATTCTTTCGATGATTTTTAATACATTTTTTAAGAATAATTACATTTTCCAAGAAATTCCAATAAAATTGTATTAAAAATAATTGAAATTCTGCATTGAGTTTTATTATTTATGAAAATAATTGAATTCCTAAGAACAACAAATTTTTAAATAATTAAATTCGTTTGACAAATTTTAATAAAATTTTTAATAAATATTACATTTATCGAGGAATTCGATTAAAGTTTAATAAAAATAATTGACATTCTGCGATGAGTTTTACATACTTATGAAAATAATTAAATTTCTATAAAAAGAATTTTATTACTTAGAAAAATAATTGAATCTCTGTAAAAAATTGTATAGTTTATGAAAATAATGAAATTATTACAAAGAAATTTATAATAAATTTTTAAATAATTAAATTCTTTGTAAATAATTGAATTCTATGTAAATAATTGAATTCTTTGTAAATAATTGAATTTCTGTGAAATTTTTATTATTTTATGAAAATAATAAAAATTGACAATCAATAAATTGAGGAAAATTTTTGAAAATAATTGAATTTTTGGGAAGCTTTTTATTAAAATTTTTAAAAATAATTGAATTTTGGAAAAAAAAATTTATTATTTATAAAAATAAAATAAAAATATTGCAAATAAATTTATAAAAAAAATTGTAATTTTCAAATTCATTTGTTTTTACATGTAATTCATTTTTAAATCAATTTTTATTAGAAAATTCTATACTAGAATTCAATTATTTAAATATAATAAATAATTTATTGTATATTTGAATGATTCTTAAAATTGAATTCTCATAAAGAAGTTTATCAACTAATTTTTGAATAATTGAATTCGCTTGACGAATTTTAAGAAAATTTTTAATAATAATTATACTTATCGAGGAATTTGATTAAAATTTTATTAAAAATAATTGAAATTCTGCGATGAGTTTTACTATATTTATAAAGATCATTAAATTCCTAAAAAGAATTTTATTATTTAGAAAAATAATTGAATTATTATATTGCGAAGAAATTTTGAAAAGATTTGTAAATAATTGAATTTTCGTAAAATTTTTATTATTTTATAAAAATAATAAATATTAACAATCATTAAATTGAGAAAAATTTTTGGGAAGAATTTTATTAAAATTTTTGAATTTTGGAGAAAAATTTTATTATTTATAAAAATAATTGAAATTTTGCCAAGAATTTTTAAAAAATTTTGAACATAATTGAATTTTTGCTGAGAATTTTATTACTTTTGAAAATAATTGAATTTTGCAATCATTTGTAATTTCTCTAAAATTTTCCAAATTATATCGCACAATTCACGAACTTTTTGTCCTTTTTTAATCAAATTACGAACTTTATATTTACAAACTTTTTTTAAAAAAACTGATTTTTACGGACTTGAATCCAATAATAATATAATGTTAAAAAAATTATTTTACGAAATTTATATTCTTTCTAATTAAAAATCATTAAAATTTAGTAGAATTCATGTAGAAATTCTATAAAATCATTCTAGTGAAATTTTACAGAATATTCACTAGAATTCATATAGAATGATTCTAGTGATATTCTATAGAACTTTTTCAGCTGGATGGCGAATTATGAATTCAAATCCCAGAGGGGGGAATTTATTTTTCTTTTGGCCCACTTTTGCATTTACCTGGTTGTGCAGAAAGGGAGTCATTTAATCTCTCACAATAGAATATATCTAATCTCGTTGCTTTTATTTACATTATTTACAATTTTCAATTTTTTTTTTATTTCAGTTTTTTCTTTGTCTACCGAAGGCAATGAGTTCGACCTCCGCAAATATTCAAGAGTGGATTGAAAATAGAAGTCGGAAATAAAAAAAAAAATTTTTTTTACTCGGGAAACGAATATCAAACGCGTAAAACTTGATAAAAATTGTGCGTTCATACGGTAAATTGAATACATTTTTATTAATCAAGAGCATTTGAATTTAATTTCTCCTTTTTTGGGGAGGGGAGGAAAAAGTTATGCTTTCTGCATAATTTTTTTTTTTTTTTTGAAATATTTTTTAGATTTCATCCACTCGAAGTTCGTTTTACTTTACTAATCAAAAAATTTTGTTTGATTAGTAGGCAAACGTCAATTTATTTCTAAAAATGAATTTCATTCCCGTGCAAACATTTTAGTTTATTAAAAATCGTTTTGGAAAAGAAATTTCCGTGGAACTTTAATAGATTTTAGTTAATTTCTTCTTGTAGAAATATTTTTTTAAAATCTACTGTGAAGAAAAATGTCGTCGAGTACGTTCCAGCGTATCTCGAAATTGTGAAAAAAGAAGTGTCACTGAATAATAATTAATTCACGGGATATTTAGAAGTTTTTTTCCAGGCCTTTTTTTTGAGAGGTTGTTAGGCATTTTTTTAATTATTCACTTTTTTGTTAATAAGTTTTTTTTTAAACGCGTAATCGATTCGACGCGACTATCAGACGTAGTATTCATTGACGTTGAGCGCGTCGGAATCCCGACCCTATACGCAACTTTCTTGAGTGGAAATTAATGGTGTACGAACCGTAACTACCTCCCTTGGATGATGTTGTTGCTTCCCGGAAATGGCCGATTCTTGGAGGACATTCGATCTAACTGGCGTGACACTGGTCAATGGTGTAATGGGAAAATCGATTTTCGGCGGCCTTGCATTGTGATCTATACAGGCGTAAACTGTCGCCTCTTTCGCGTAAGGCTTACCACCCACAATTACACCCAGACCACTTCCATAACCCGTGAGACTGCCGAGGGCGCCCACACTATTGATGCTCGATAATTTTGTCTCGGGCGCTGTCGACAGGGTCGTTGGTCTTGGCAGGCAAAGTTCCGCGTACGTCACCTCGCCACTTAACTGAAACAAAAATTTCATCAAGTTTTTTTCTTTTGATGCTTTTCTTTTTGGGAAATGAAGCGAAAGAGATTGAATTAAGCTGAGGATGTTGTTGTATCAAAGGTCGAAGGGGAAGGTTTATTATAGGTGGTTAAAGTTTGATGATGTTCAAGGAAACATTAAAAACTAAACGACGAGTTAAAAAGTCTTTAAGACATTATTCTATTCTTTAAGACTAATGTCTGAAAGATTTTTTAACTTTTATTTTTATTATTTTGTTTCTTTATTCTTCTATTTCTTTAATCTTTTAATTTTTTATTCTTCTATTTCTTTATTCTCTTATTTTTCTTTCTTTTATTTTTTAATCGGTTGTTTTTTGAAGTTACCGACAGTCGGTCTGTTACCGACTGATGAGAAGCAGTTACCGACAGAGGGAAATGGTCCCTTATAAGCGCCAGAGCGGACACTTTATTCTCATTCACGTTCTGGTGCTTGTGCTGAACGCATCTAAGTGGATTAATTGTTTCTTGATTTTTTACAATAAATTACAAGAAGTTGAGTAATTAAAATTTAGGTAATTTTTCAAAACATTCCGTAAATACAAGTTATGTAACCACAAACTGTCAAGTAATGGAATTATTCGAATAATAATTCAAGAATTGGTTTACATCAAGAAGGAAACAATGGGTTTTTATACTTTGATATTTAGAAACCGACAAATCTCTCTAGAAACGTTCTTAGAAAATAAAAAATAAAATTATATGAATTGAAATTAAGTTTAAAAATATTAGAAACAAAAAGATTGGAATTAAAACTACAAGTATTGAAATTAAACTAAGAATATTCGAATTAAAATTAGAAATATTAAAATAATAATTAAAAGTATAATAGAATTAAAATGAGAAATATTAAAATTGAAACTAAAAATATTGTAATTAAAACTAGAAAATTATGTTGAAATTGAAAATTTTGGATTTAAGAATAAAAATAGTTGTATTTAAATTAAACCTAAAATTATTAACATTAAAACTAAAATTATTAAACTTGTAACTAAAAATATTCGAATTAAAACTAAAAATATTTTAATTAAATTTTAAAATTTTAAAATTGAAACAAAAATTTTAGAATGAAAAATAAAATTTTTAAATTTAAGATTTAAAACCAAAAAAATTATTCTAATGAAATCTAAACATATAAAAATGAAATCTATAAATATTAAGATTAAAAATAAAAATTACCATTTTAGAAGTTTAAAACTAGAAGTATTAAAATTAAAACTACAAATATTTGTATTAAATTTTAAAATGTTTAAATTAAAACAGAAATTTTAGAATTAAAAATAAAATGTTTAAATTTAAGATTTAAAACTAGAAAAGTTGAACTTAAAATTATTTGGATGAAATCTAAAAATATCAAAATTAAATCTAGAAATATTTGGATTAAAAATAAAAATCATCGATTTAAAAGTTTAAAACTGGAAATATTAAAATTAAAACTAGTCTAAAAGTATTAAAACTTAATATGAAAATTTAAATTCGAAGATTAATGTAGAAACTAAGAATGTTCGAACTTAAATTAAAAGTAATAAAATTGAATTTTAAAAATATTCAAAGTTAAAATTAAATTATTAAAACTGAAAATAAACGTTATTTTGTGGTAAATCTAAAAATATTTAAAGATTTAAAATTAAAGATATTTTATTTAAAATTGCAAGAATTCAAAGTAAAACTAAAAGTACCTATTCGACTTTAAATTAGAAATATTAAAAGAAAAACTAGTCCAAAAATATTGAAACTTTATATCAAATTAAAATTAGAAGGTTAATATTGATACTAAAATTATTTGAATTAAATCTAAAAGTATTTACGGATTTTAATATAAAAATATTCTACTTCAAGCTATAGAAGCAAAAAAATTGAAACTAAATTTCTTTCTAATTAAAACTAGAAATATTAAAATTTAAATTAGTCGACAAATATTGAAACTTAATATGAAAATCAAAATTAGAAGCTCAATATTGAAACCAAAAACGCTCGAATTGAAATTAGAAGTATTAAAATTAATTTTTAAAATATTCAAAGTTAAATTAGAATCATGAAAATTAAAACTAAATTAATTTGAATTAAAGCTAAAAGTATTTACAAATTTAAAAATAATATTCGATTTGAAACTAGAATTATTAAAATTAAAACTAAAAGTATTCGAATTGAAACAAGAAAAAGAAATATAATAAAAAATAAAAATATTCGATTTGAAACTAGAATTATTAAAATTAAAACTAAAAGTATTCGAATTGAAACTAAAGATATTTAAATTACAATTAGAAATATTAGAATGAAAACTATAAATTTTGAAATTGGAACTAGAAGATAAATATTGAAACTGCATAAATGGAATTTTAAACTAGAAAATTTATGAAACTAAAAATATAAAAATTAAAACCGGAAGTGTAAAAATTAAACAAAAAATATTAAAATTATTTGCATTTAAATTAAAAGTATGAAATATTAAAATGTAAAACATTTAATTTAGAATCATTAAAACTTAAAAGTACTAAATGTATTCGAATTAAAACTAAACGTAACAAAATTAAGTTTAAATATTTAGAATTAAAAACAAAAATATTCGAATTAGAACCAGAAGTAGATTAAAATTAAAAATATTAAAATTGAAACTAAACTATCAGAATCAAAACTAAAACAAAATTTACATTTCTTTATTCATTAACGACTAATATAGAAAACTTTTGCAAAGAATACCAAATAAAAACTAAAAAGAAGTAGGTATCTATTTATTATTCATTAACTATTAATTTAAAAAACTTTCCGAGAATCGCGAATTTTTTTCCACTCTTTTTTTTTCTAGTGAAGCTCGACACTCTTCAAATTTTTTTTCCGGTTAATATTATTCTAGAAAACTTCATTGAACGGCGCCAGGGGAATTTTCACTTCCACTTTCTTCGCTTGGTGATACTGCAGTTCGTTCGGGTCATTGAATAAAAATAGATAAGTGGTATTGGGAATAGAGTTTGAGCTTCAGGCGAAGAATCGGAAATGGAAGCCGTTGGATTTTCGTAAAATTCCTCTTAACACATTTAAGAATCGATATGAATATTAAACTCTCTTTTTTTAAATGCCTATAACTGACTTTTCTCAATTGAGAACAAAAGTTTAAATTGAATAGAAATAATATAGAAGATACTTTTTTTTTCTTAAGGCAAAAAAAAAGTTTTAATGAGAATACTTTTTTTAATATTGGCAATTTTTTTTCAATTAGACAATATTGTAGGTATTTTTAATTTTATTTTCTTTTAAAGTAATTTATTGTGACTTTATATTTTTATTTAAGTGCTTTTTTATTGACTTGTTTTGGAAGTATTGAAAATAAAAAAAAATCTTATTAAAAAAATAGTAATAATAATAATTAAAATATATAAATATTATAATATTATAAATATTAAATAAAAATAAATAAAAAATAAATATATTCGATTGAAAACTAGAATTATTAAAATTAAAACTAAAAGTATTCGAATTGAAACTAGAGATAGAGACTGAGTAATAGAATTATCATTATAATAATTATAATTTTTATTATAAAAATATTAGGGTAGAGTGGGGTAAAAAAGCCACATTTTTACTTTTGATGTTGTAAAATCTGTATTTAAAATTTTTTTCTCAAATTTCCAATTGTTATTGAAAGTTTAGTTATTAAGCTTGAAAATTCTTGACGGAAATATTTTTTATCTCATGAAAGGACTAAGTTATAAGAGTTTTACGAAAGCACCGTAAGTGGCTTTTTTGCACCACCTGGTGGGGTGAAAAAGCCACCCTACGATTTTAGCAAAACATGTTATCAATTTAGGTATTTTTATAGTTTCCCTTTATTTATATGACAAATAGTCTTATTTGAAAAATATTCTAATAATTATGAAAGAGTTTTTAGCAAGCAAAATTGAAAATTATATTAAGTTTACCTGTTTTTCATTTGCACTGCCAATTTTTCGTACCTTTTTTAGAAGTTCTCTTTAAGTTTTACCACAGATAACATATTTCGTTGCAACCGTTTATTCATTGTTTATTTTTTAAATGCATTTTGAACTTCTTTTTCGTCGTGTTTAATTTATTTTATTAAATAAACACGAGAAATTTTGTAAAATAAGAAGGTTAGTTTAAATAGAAAACAAGTGAATTTCACAAAATATTTAATGGATTTTTTGCCCTGGCTTTTTTACACCCAAGACCAGTTATTAAAAAAAGCAAAAATAAATTGTTAATTCAGTTCAATTTCCAAAAATTAACATTGTATACGTTTTCGGTATACTTTTCTCCTTATGTACAAACATTTACTTTTATTATTCGTTCACTTAATCAAATTGTAATATGTTTGAAAAGTTCACCAAAATGTTTTCAAAAAAGCAACAAAAAATTAAAATTACAATAAAAACAATATTAATCTAGGTACAACATTCAAATTAGATTCAAAAGTTGCGTATTACCTAATAGTATTTATATTCTAAACAGCTGATAAATCGGCTTAATAGTTTTTAAATAAAACTCAAATGGCTTTTTTACACCATGGCTTTTTTACCCCACTCTACCCTATAATAATAAATATTTAATTTATTTCTTAACTCTGATTTTTTGAAAGGATTTTAAAAAATAAATAATTTTTTTTTATATTTAAAAATAATTTGGTTTATTTTCTCACCGGTAACGTGGGATAATTATTGTATTCGTTGTGCGTATAAGCAGGTAAGCTCTGCAGATGATTAGTTTGCTGGACTGGAAGTGAAGTTGCTGGAAGCCCATCTGGAGTATTTTGAGTGGCTAATGGAGTTCCCGCTGTAGACCCAGTTAGCTGATAATCCGAATCTATCAACAAAAATAACAATTTTATTTATTTTTATACTCTGCCCATAATATTTTATCCATTTCCGGAATTTTTTTCAAATTGAATTTTTTTTTTATTAAGTAGTCAGTGGTTTAATAAACACTATCCATTTTTTAAATAATTTTACTAATTATTTTTACTAATAATTATTAGTACAATATTATTATAAAGATAATAATGTAATGTAACTATGTAATTATTTTTGATGTCATTTATTTTTTTTAATGACTGAATTTGTGTTAAGAGGTCCTGGAAAAAATTCTGTCTCATCAGGAGCGTTGAACTTTGGATTTTTAAACAAATGAAGGCTTCACGCTCTTTTTTAATTACTATCTCAAGGACTTTTCTTTGTAGTAGAATATGAGGAGAGGAAAAAAAATTGTCGAAATAAAAAAAAAAGGAAAATTTGAACGAACCTTTGTTAGTGGGTACGACATCCGGATTTCTGTCATCAGCATCATAGAGGTCCTCAGAGCTTGGCACTGTGGCTTTTTTAAGAGGCAGATCGCCCGGTCTTTGAGCTCGTCTCTCGCTTCTGACTTTGAGGGCAGCCAATATCGTCACAGTGACCAACAGAAGCGCGGTCACAACCCCAATGAGTATTCCCAGTAATGGTGTTATCTCAAAGGGCACAGGTGTGCCTGTGAACAAAACGCGTACTGCTCTCGTGCAATAACTTCTTTTTATAATCGTATAAACAATTATTTTCTTTATTTTTCATTTATAACAGGACCGAAAGTTCTTTCTTAAAAAAATACAGTGAGAAAAAAAATATATTTCAAATTAAACATAATAATTTTGATTCAATACATAATAATAGTAAAACAATAATTTTATATTTTATTCAATAAAAATTACGTTTAATTCAATTATAAAATATTACTAGCAACAATTCGCGAGCTGGCTAACTTCTTACTACCTTTTTTTAAAAATAAAATTAGCAATTATAAAAATAATAGAATTTAAAAATTTTCTAATTTAAATTTTTGTTGAAAACACTAAAAAGATTCAATTTTCGAGAAATAACAAATAATTGCAGAAATTCAATTATTTAAAAAAAAAATCAAATTCTTCCTATAAAATTCAACAATGTTCAAAATTTGAAAAAAATTCTTGTAAAAATCCCAATTATCTTTAAAAATAACAAAATTCTTCTGCAAAGTTCAATTATTTTCATAAATGTCAAAAAAATTCTTGTTCTAATTTCAATTATTTTCAAAAATAAAATGCATTTTTCTAATTTCAATGATTTTCAATATCTACTATTTTAATAAATTTTTTCAAAAGAATTCAATTATTTAAAACAAAATTTTAATAAAATTGTATGCAAACATTTAATTATTTTCATAAATAATAAAAATTTTACAGAAATTCAATTATTTTTATAAATAAAAAATAATACAAATTTTTTAAAGGAATTCAATTATTTTCATAAAAAATAATTTAAAATTCTAAAAAATAATAATTGAATTAAAATGATGAAAATAATTTTAATGAAGTTACAGTAACATTAAATTCTTATAATATAAAATAATAATTTTATCTCTCGGTCATCTTTAATTATTAGAAAACATGAAGAAATCGATCACTCCGAGTCTTCGACTCGGAGCAATCGGTATCTTCATGTTTTATAACAATATTTTTATAAGTTGTTTAATTTAAGAAAAGTTTGAATTTGAAATTTTTAAATGTCTTAATTCCTGTGGAAAATCCTGTTCCAAAAATAAGATTAAAAATAGGAATTGTGCAAATATTTTTCTTCTTTTTCTAAAACAGAATAATAATTTTGTTAAAAAAATTGTGATTCATAAACAAAAATAAATCAAAATAAATAAATTTTCTATTTCTTAATCACAGTTGTTTACCAATTTTCTAAATTTGTTTAGAAGTAAAGAACAAAAATCTGCGTAATTTTAATTTGACAATACATAATATTTAACAAAATTTTAGTCTTTCAATGAAAAGAAGTGAAAAAAATTCTGATGATTTCTATTTGTCATTACAATTTTGAAATAATTATAAAATAAAAATTTTCTTATTATATAAAATTATTATATAAATATTATATAAAATTATTATATAAATATTATATATAAATTATTATATGAATATTATATAAAATTATTATGTAAATGTTATATGAAATTATTATATAAAAATATAATACTACCACTTTTTTATTATTTCTATTTTATCTTATCGTGAATTCAAGTCGATTTGGACAAATTTTCCGAACCGGAATTTATGATTAGAATTTTTTAATCGGTAATTTCCGGAGGAGACAAAAAGTTGAATGAATAATTGAATTGATATTTAATTTGTACTTTATAAGTTAGTAATCGAGATTTTCCCTGTCAATGTGTTCACTTTTTGTGTTATCAAGATTTTCAGAGTTGTTTCGTTTGAGTGGTAATTAATATAAAATATTACTGAACGGAATATTCAATCGGAAATTTAATGTTCGCAGTTGCTAATTAGAATTGTACCTGTCTGGACGCGTTTATTTCTCGGAAATGAAAGATTTGTTCTTTTTAAACATGTTTCTATTTTTTATTTATTTTTTCGTAGTTTCTTTTATATTTTTACTTTTATTTTTATATTTTCTTATTATAATTTTTTTTTCATTTTAAAAAAAATAATTTTTTTGTACTACTTAATAGTAAATTTTGGTCTGACTTTTCTTTTAACATATTTTTAGTCCGATAGGAATATTAATTGAAGAAGCAGTAGTATAGGAGAATTTTAGTCAGACAGGTTAATTTAAATTACAGTAATTTTAGTGTAAGTTGTAAAATTTTATTTACGTCAGACAATATTTTTTTAAATTATATAATACTTTTTTAATTCTTTTAACTTTAATTATTTTTTAGACTAAAACATAATTTGAATAGGTAGTTTTAGCAAAAAGAAAGTTAAAAAGTAGAAAAATTATTTTTTTCAGTAGGAAAACTCTGTTATTTACAGACAAAACGTTTGAGATTGTTTTATTTTTTATTAAGTAGTAAAAGTCGGGTTTGGTCAGACAATTGGTATTTTTATATTTCAAATTCAGAAATGAGTAGTAAAAGTTTGTAATAGTCAGACAAAACGTTTGATTCTTTTTTTGTCTTTAAATAAGTAGTAAAAATCGGGTTTGGTCAGACAATTCGTATTTTTACATTTCTAATTATGAAATCAGTAGTAAATGTGCTGTTTCGTCAGACAACATTTTTCACTTAATTTTAATACTTTTTTCATACATTTAACTTTATTATTTCTAGGACAAAAAATTTTAATATTTTAAGTCTGCGAGATAGTTAAATTCTAAAATAATTTATTTTTTCAGTAGTAAAAGTTTGTTATAGTCAGACAATACGTTTTCTTCTTTTTTTATGATCAATTAAGTAGTAAAAATCGGTTATGCTCAGACAGTTGGTGATTTAATTTTATCAGACAAGATTTGCTTTTAATTTCAATACTTTTATCTTTAGTATTTCTAGGACAAAAAAATAATTTTTATATTTTCGGTTAGAGAAAACATTAAGTTGTAGAATAATTTAATTTTCCAGTAGTAAACGATTGTTATAGTCAGACAATACGTTTTCTTCTTTTTTATTATCAATTAAGTAGTAAAAATCTGTTTTCGGTCGGACAGTTGAGAATTGATACTTTTTTATTTACGAAATCAGTAGTAAACGTACAGTTGCGTCAGACAATATTTTTCTTTTAATTTTATTACTTTTGACTTTAGTGTTTTTGGGGACAAACAAATAATTTTAATATTTTAAGTCAGGGAAAAAGTTAAATTGTAAAATAACATTTTTTTCAGTAGTAAAAGTTTGTTATAATCAGACAAAACGTTTTCTACTTTTAATTATTAAAAAAATTTTTATTTCTTTTCTGTTTTGAAACCTTTGTCTTTTATTCTTAAAAATGAAAAAAATTAATTTAGCAGATAATATGAATATATTTTTTTCAAAGTTTTTCGTTTCTTTACCGAGTGTAACTGTAGTCTCTTGCTGGTAATTTTCATGGAAGGATTTAGAAATCTCGTCGTCGTCGTCGTCTGTTAGTGATTCATAAAGGGAATTGAGGGTAAAAGAGGGAAGCATGCAAACGAATGGACTCAGTAGCAGGGCGGCACTTTTATAAATAAGACCCTCGCTAATAGCATTTAATGAATATCGAGTTTCAAAAGGACATTAAATTCAGAATGTCTTTTAACTCTCGCTCTCTCTCTCTCTCTTTCTCTTTCTCTCCCTCCCCCTTCCCTATCTCTCTCACCTTCCATTTCTATTTATATATAATACATTCGTAACGTAAATATGCAAGTTACAATCTACTTTGAAACGATGAGAATCTAAAAATAAAAAAAAATGGAGAAAAGAGTAAAATTCACTCGACTTACAATCCAATTCGAGAATCTCTTTTCCATTACTGAAGTATCGAATACCTGCGACAGTTTAAAGTGCAAAATGTAGTAAGACATTTGACGATTCAATTCTCTAGAAAAGACTCTCTTTGTACCCCCTTTCTCTCTCTCTCTCTTTCTGTCAAGAAAGTTTATATTGTTTTTAGACTTAAAGTTTAAATAAAAATTTCATGCTTTATTTTATTTCAAACTTTGTTTTATTTCGTCTGGAATTACTAATTTTCTTTTTTTTTCTCTCTTTTCTCTCTTTCTCTTTCTCTCTTCCTTCATTACTCTCTTCTTCTCTCTTAAAAATAAACTTTTCGCCAGATCCTTTTTCTTTGTTTATGGTTCGTTAATTCGTATGAATTCACACGTAAAGTTTACATTTTTCCAATTAAATTATTTTTTGAGGTAGAATGAAATCATTCATATTCAGCATTCAATAACCGGGATTTTGATTTCACGGTAAACTTGAATTATTACAGAAAGAAAAATTTCACTTCGACTGATTGGATTTTATCCGACCACATATATACTAAATCTTTTTCTCTTTAGTTTCAATCAAAGTTTTTTCTTTTCAAAGAAAGTCCTTCCTTTAACTTGGCCTTGTAAAGAAAACAAAAGAAAAAAAAGAACAACATCAAAGAAAGCAGTGTTTAATTGAAAGTAGTTTCTTAATTTGTGTTTATGAGATTTTTTTTTATTTCACTTGAAAAAGGCGGAAAATATTTATTAAAATTGAATATTTTCAAACGTTGTAATATTTTTTAAAAGTCGATTTAACCTAAAGAAAAAAAAACTAAACAGGAAAAAATTAAAATATGAACAAAAAGAAAAAAAAAGAAATATGAAAAAAAAACTAAAGAAAAGACAAGAAGCGGTTGATAGTAAATATAAAAAGTATAATATAAATGAAAAAAAAAATATAAAACAGGAAAAAATACCAAAAAAGAAATAAATACAAAAAAGGAATAAATTTTTTAGCGTAAAAAATTTCAAATTTTTTTTCGTTGTCCTAATTGATTTTTAAAAAATAAAAATATTATTTCGTGAGAAAAATGGAGAGTGTAGGCGAGGAAAGGAAAACAAATGCAAAAAAAAAAAAAAAAAAAAAATGTTAGAAATAGGAGGCGGAAAATTGGATTAAATTTTTTTTCTACAGCGAATAAAGTGAGGATTTTTAGGCTGATACTCTGGCTTCTCGATGATGAAAGGACTAAAAGCAATTTCACTTGTAAATTTGTCGATACGCTTCGTCTGATACAATACACGTCAATGAATAGGATTAGGATTTCTATCGGTCCATTTAGTTCATTTTATCTTTATTCCCATATATAATTAAGTGTTATTACGAATCTCTGTATTTATCTCTAAATCTATCAAATTTCGTTATTTAATATTTAATTTAGATAAAAAAGGCAATATTTTTATTGTTATTTAATTTGTTATTTAATTTTTTATATACTTTTCATTTACTTTTATATTTATTTTTTATATTTATTTTATTATTTACTTTATTTACTTTTTATATTCTATTTGGAAATTTGAAGTGAAAATTAATTGAAAAGAAACACTTTTCGAATTTTTATGGGTATTAGTAGTAAAAGATTATTTTAGTCAGACGAATATTTTTTATAATTTTAATACTTTTTAAAATACTTTTAACTTCCATATATGTAAGACTGAGAAATTAAAAAATAATTTTAATATTTTTAGTCAAAGAGAAAGTTAAAGAGTATAGAAATTAATGTTTTCAGTAGTAAAAGTTTGTTATAGTCAGACAAAACGTTTCATAGTTTTTTAGTTTTTATTAAGTAGTAAACATCGTGTTTGGTCAGACAAATCGTATTTTTACTTTTTTAATTATGAAATCAGTAGTTAAAGTGCAGTTGCTTTGGACAAAATTTTTTTTTTATTTTTAATACTATTTTTTTATACTTCTAACTATAATATTTTTAAGACTCAAAAAATAGTTTTAATATTTTTAGTCAGGGAGTAAGTTAAGTAGTAGAGTAATTAAGTTTGTTGGCAGTAAAAGTTTGTAACAGTCAGACAAAACGTTTTCTACTTTTTTATAATCAATTAAGTAGTAAAAATCTGCTTCGGTCAGACAGTTAATAATTTAAATTTATTTAATTATATAATCAGTAGTAAAAGTGCATTTACGTCAGACAAGATTTTTTTTTTAATTTTAATACTTTCTGTGATAGTTTCAACTCTAATATTTTTAGGGGCCGTTCAAAAAATACGTAACGCTTTAGGGGGGAGGGGGGTCAAGCTATTTGTTACGGTCAGCAGAAAAAATGGCGCTAATGTATACAACATTGCGTTATATGGGGGGAAGGGGGGGTCCAAATTTCCGAAAAATAGCGTTACGTATTTTTTGAACGGCCCCTTAAGACTACAAACAATTTAAATATTTTTAGTCAAAAAGAAAGTTAATAAGTAAAGTAATAATACAGTTAATATTTTCAGTAGTAAAAGTTTGTTATAGTCAGGCAAAATTTTTTATACTTTTTCATTTTTATTTAAGTAGAGAAGATTGGGATTATATTTATATTATTTTTTTAAAGTAAGTAGAAGAAATTATTTTCAGTCAGACAATAGTTATTGAAACCATTTCAGTTAGACAAAAATATTAAAAAAAGAAGAAGAAAATAAATATTTTTCCTGAATCAGTAGTAAAAGTGAGTTTTAGTCAGACAAAACGATTTATTATTTCCCTTGTATTCTTAAAAATATTTTGCCAATTTTTTCTTACTCAGTTTTTTGTTTTTTACAATTTTGACTTTTCTAACTTCAAAAATTAAATTTTTAATTCTTTAATTATGGTAAATTACGAATTTAAAAAATAATACATAAATTCTTGATTAATTATTGATTGGCACTTTATGATATAATGATGATTGTTATCTAAATTCTTTTTTTAAATATTTAGTTATTAAAGCTTATTATTTGTTTAATTATTGTTTATGTTAATTTTTTATTCATTAAATCGTAGATTTCGAAAGGGGCTTAACTTTAAAAAACCGGTAGAGTCATTTTTAATTAACAATAAATTGGTAGTGAAATTTATTCAAATAAATTTATTTAAAGAAACTTTAATCGAATTCTGATGGGTATTAGTAGTAGAAGATGATTTTAGTCAGACAACATTATTTATAATATTTATAATATTGTTTATAATATTTATAATATTATTTTAATATGAGTCATTCCATTATATTTCGACTAAAGTCGTTGCTGACTAATTTTAAAAAATTATAATATTTTGCAGGAATGATGTTAAAGATATTAGGATCACCGAACAAAAAGAATTTTTTAAATATTTTTTATATTTATTGTAAAATAAGCATCTAAAGTATATGAAGTCGTAAAAACTGTCACATTTTCATCTATTAGAAAATATTAAAGAAAACACATAATTTACTATAAAAATGTAAAAAAGTTATAAGAATTTATTAAGAAAGAATTGTTTTATTATTATAAATTGATAGAAACAATTATTAATAAGAAATATTAAATAAAAAAGGATTTTTAAGTTCACCTGCCAAATAACCTAATTTTGCAAATTTCATTCACTAAATGTGAGAAAGAGAAATCATTAAATTAAATAAAACCTTATGAAATATAAAGTACCTGTGATTAACTTTTAGTTTTTCTTATCACTTTCTTCCTTTTTTCTTCATAAATGTTAAAAAATAAGCAATTAAAACTGGCACTTTGCTTATTTTCACGATTTTAAAATGCAAATAACTTCAGCCCAGAAAAATGAAAAATTACGAAAATTGGGCAATAATTATTTGATCACTAGATACACTCACTGGAAAAAGATTTTCTTTGGTCCCGAAGCTATTTTCCGAATTCATTAACTTTAAACTTTTTACTATTTTTATCAGGTTAATACATGTGTTTTTTAAAGGACGAAGTTAGCTCTTCTTGTTTAATCGTTTTGAACCAACTTCAGTTTTAAAAAAATCACATGTATTAACCTGATAGAAATAGTGAAAAGTTTAAAATTAATTATTTCGGAAAATAGCTTCGGGACCAAAGAAAATCTTTTTCCAGTGAGTGTATTTAGTGATCAAATAATTATTGTCCAATTTTCGTAATTTTTCATTTTTCTGGGCAGAAGTTATTTGCATTTTAAAATCGTGAAAATAAGCAAAGTGCCAGTTTTAATTGCTTATTTTTTAACATTTATGAAGAAAAAAGGAAGAAAGTGATAAGAAAAACTAAAAGTTAATCACAGGTTCTTTATATTTCATAAGGTTTTATTCAATTTAATGATTTCTCTTTCTCACATTTAGTGAATGAAATTTGCAAAATTAGGTTATTTGGCAGGTGAACTTTAAAATCCTTTTTTATTTAATATTTCTTATTAATAATTGTTTCTATCAATTTATAATAATAAAACAATTCATTCTTAATAAATTCTTATAACTTTTTTACATTTTTATAGTAAATTATGTGTTTTCTTTAATATTTTCTAATAGATGAAAATGTGACAGTTTTTACGACTTCATATACTTTAGATGCTTATTTTACAATAAATATAAAAAATATTTAAAAAATTCTTTTTGTTCGGTGATCCTAATATCTTTAACATCATTCCTGCAAAATATTATAATTTTTTAAAATTAGTCAGCAACGACTTTAGTCGAAATATAATGGAATGACTCTATTTAAATACTCGTCAGTCGTTTTAAATAATTTAATTTAAGATATTTTATGTAAGAAAGAAATTAACTCGGTCCTGTATATATATAAAGAAATTTTAAAAGATATTCTATAAATAAAATCAAGAAACATCACATACCAGTTTGTTTTTCGGCAACTTTGAGTGTAAAACCCTCGAGTAATGTTGATTCACTTCGTCCCTTGCCATTCATTGCGTATAGAACCATTTTCAAAACTTTTCCCGGCTCTAAACCCTTTACAGTAAGTGTGGCATTCTCTCTTGATGTGACGTTTGCTTGAAGTGCACCAGTTTGTTGATCGTACACCTCCAAAACGAAGCTTTGTTCTTGACCGCCATTAAAACCGGCGATACATTCAACAGAGAGGGAAACTGTTGTTTGATTCGTCAATGTGCAGTTATGTGGAGCGTCAGGCTTTCCTGTAATTAATTTACCCAAAATCTCACCTTACTTTCCGCATTGTCTCTCTCTCTCTCTTATTTGGTTACACATTTCACAAAGGGAATGGAGAAAATCAATTTGAATTCATCAATTCAATTTAAATTGAATTAGAAATTCATTTGATTAGATTTTTTTTTGCTCAAATAATCGAATTGAATATAATAATTTTACTTGAATAAAAAAATGGTGTCAAATCAATATAGTATAGGAATATATATATTATGAAGCATATGCCAGAGAAAATGAGGGCAGAACCCAAATAAAATATACATGAGTGCAATAACAATCAGACAAGCTCGCCACAATAATGACTGCAATATTTGTAGCTGTTACTCGATAACCAGTTGTTATAAACGATTTTATTATTCCCCATAAAAGATAAAGCCAACATAAAATATGAAAACTGAAGGCTTGATTTCAATACATTTGGAAAACGTATGCAAGCCAACGATGGACTTTTCCATTTGTCTCAAATTTATGGTCCAGAGAAATTGTTCGTTAAAATATTTCTATATGATTTTGTGCAAAATATTCGTAAAGTGGAGAAAAAAAAATGGAAATAAATAATGAATGATAATAATTCTTTTTTTTTTTAACGTACCAACGGGGATAATGTGAAAGACGCATGCTGTTTTTTGTTGTCCTTTTGTATTGCTCGCCCAACAGAAAACGGTTCCGTAATCCATTTCATTAACGGGCCTGTAAGTGAGGACACTTTGGGAATGACGAGTTGAATTTTGATAGCGAGCTTGTGGCACGTCGACCATTTCTTCGGTATTGTTGAATGTCCAACGGAAATTATTGGGCGGTGGGTATGCCTCTACTTTACAAATGACCTTTGCGTCTTCATGTCGTGCGACGCCGTACACCCATTGTTGTCCTGGCACGCAAATTGGCTTATCTGTAAGAGGAAAAAAGTTTTTTTTTTGTTATTTTAGTCTGACTTGTTGATTTAGACAAGTGGAATTTTAGGGTAAGTAGTAAAGGTAAAATTGCGTCAGACAATATTTTTTTCTTGGTAATTATAATTCTTGGTATTTTTAATGAACGGTACTTTTAATCGCAGGTATTATTAAGTAATTTTAATAAAAGGTAGGTACTTTTAATCAGAAAGAAAATTAAAAAGTAGAATAACTTATTTTACCAATAGTACAAGTCTGTTGGGTGTCTACTATTTTTGGTCAAAAAAATTCTCTGTTATTTCCCGGCATTGTCCTAATTTTCCCCTGTTTTTTTTCTCATCAAATTTAAATTTATTTGATTTCGAACATAAATAAATCTACAAATGGCTTTAAAAATTTTTATTAAAGTTTTTATGAATAATTAAACTCTTTTGACAAGTTTTTTTTAATTTTTTGAAAATAATGTTTTCTTAATAATTTTAATCAAAAATTTGGAAAATAATTGAATTGAACAAAGAATGTTTTCAATTTTTTAAAATAATCTTGTCTGTTCATAATTATAATGAAAAATTTGATTAATTCAATTTGTTTAAAATTTATTGATACTAATTGAATTTCAGCAAAGAATTTTACTATTTATAAAAGTAATTGAATCCTTCCAAAGAATGTTATTATTTATAAAAATAATTAAATGTTTGAGTAGAATTTTATAGAAATTTATGAAAATAATTGAATTCTTGTGAAGAATTCTTTTGAAAAATAATATTCAAAAGAATTCAGTAAATCTGAAGAATTTTGCTATTTATGGAAATAATTCAATTCTTGAGAAGAATTTTTTTTACAATTTCTAGAAATAATTGAATTCTTTCGACGAATTTTAATAAAATTCTTAAAAATAATTGCATATTTCGAGGAATTTGATTAAAATTGTATTAAAAATAATTGAAATTCTGCAATGAGTTTTACTATTTATGAAAATAACTGAATATATTGCGAATAACTTTTAAAAAATAAAATTATAATTACGGTGACTAACTTCCCTTGATTATTTTCGAAAAATTTAAATAAAATTCTTTAAAAGAATTTTATTATTTTTAATAGAATGTAAAGAAATTACAATTATTTCAAAAATTTTCAATTATTTGATTATAAAAATTCACTTATCTTGAAATGACAGAATTAAAAAATTTCAAAAATCTTATTTTTCAGAATTTTCAAAAAAACTTTGCAAAAATTCAATTTTTATTAAAAAATTTTAAATGTGTTTTCTTTAAAATTAACTAATAAAAATTTTAATTAAAAATTTTTAATCTTCGCACTAAGAAACATGAATACGTTAGAATGTGACTCTTTATAAAATCCAATTATTTATCAATTATAAAATTAAAATACTGGGAAAATTCGATTTGTTAAAAAGTTTTTAATAAAATTCTTTAACAAATTTAATTGTTTTCAGTTGAATTTCACAAAATTTCTAATAATTCGATAATTTTAAAAAAAATTTATTTACATACTATATTTAAGTCAGTGACTGATTTTTTACTATCAAATTAATTATTTTTAACTAATTCAAATTTAGAGTATAAATATCTATAAAAATTGAAGCAAAAAGGGATTTTTTAAAAACAAATTAAAATAATAAACGTTTTATGCTTTTTTGTACTTAATTAAGAAGTAAATATCGGTTCCAGACAGAGCAATATTGAATTTAACTTTGCTAATTATGAAATCAGTAGTAAAAGTCCAGTTGCGTCAGACAAAATTTTTCATTTAATTTTAATACTTTCTGAGATATTTTCAAAATTAATATTTTTCAGACTAAAAAATTATTTTTAGAGGTAATTTTATACAAAAAGATGAGTAAAAAGTAGAGTAATTAATTTTTTCAGTAGTAAAAGTTTGTTATAGTCAGACAAAACGTTTAACAGTTTTTTAATTTTAATTAAGTAGTAAATATCGAGTTTGGTCAGAAAATTAGTATTTTTACACTTTTAATTATAAAATAAGTAGTAAAAGTGCAGTTGAGTCAGACAACATTTTTCTTTGAATATTAATACGTTTTTAATGCTTTTAACTACAATATTTTTAAGACTAAAAAATAATTTTAATATTTTTAGTCAGAGAGTAAGTTAAATAGTGATTTAAATAGTAGAGTAATTAAGTTTGTTAGTAGTAAAAACTTGTTATAGTCAGACAAAACGTTTTCTACTTTTTATAATGAATTAAGTAGTAAAAATCGGGTTTGGTCAGACAATTAATATTTTTACATTTCTAATTATGAAACCAGTAGTAAAAGTGCAGTTGTGTCAGACATTCTTCTTTTAATTTTAATACTTTTTTAAATACTTTTAACTGTTATATTTTTAACACTAAAAAAATTCTGAGAGAATAACTATTTTAGAAAAATCTTTTTAAATTTCCATGTGATTTTTAATCAAGCTGATTGGTAGACGGGAAAGAAATTACAAAATGAATTTTCGTAACAAAAAAAAGCGACTGTATAAAATAATACGGAAAAAAAATAAATATACATAGCAACAACAAGGGAAGGAAAATCTGATGCAGATTCATTGAAAGTGTAATTGTACTCGCATTGTTCCTTCTTTCTCTGCTCATTTTCCTCATGTGCAAACAGACGTTGCAATTGTGGTACGAGTAACAAAAGGGCTAATTTTTACAGCGGCAAAGAAATGAGTAAAAAAAAAGTTGACAAAAAAAAAAGAAAAGTTGACAGAGAGAAAGAGAAAGAGAGAAAAAAATAGAGACCGAAGGAAAGACTTGTCGAACAAATGTATACAGAGAGTCGAAAAAAAAGTGTGCGAGAGTTTACTAGAATTTATATTAAAAAAAAAGAGGAGATGAACCTTGGTCATTTTAAATCGTAACGGATCGATTATTTTCTCTCTCTCTCTCTCTTTGCTAATAATTTTATTTTTCAAATAGTTTCAAAAGTTGAACGAAAAAAAAAATTCTCTAATTCTATTTCCGAAACCAAAATCGGCTTTTCGTTCGAAACACGTATATTATTTTATTAACTCTTGATATTTAAGTTGATAAAGAGTTGAATTATGCTCTCGATGTAATTATTAGTTTCATGGAAAATGTTTTTCCATCACTCGCCTTTAGTTATTAACAGTGATTAAAACTTGGAAAAGCAGAAACTCGTTTTAACGAAAAGTTCATTTTACATTGGCTGTTCACTTGAATAGTTTATATTTTTTTTTTGCAAGAAGTTTTTACACGCGATATATATCATACTCTGTTATTATAATAGAACTCATTACAATATATATTGTAATAAAGGTGCAATATAACACAGGGCTATTATAATAATGAGAAAAAAAAATTTCATTTTTATATTTAAACATTTTTTGTTAATCAACATTAAGAAAATTATACTATCAAGCAATATTTGTCCGTTAATTGTAAATATAAATAGTTCTACATGTAAGAACTTCAAATACAAAGAATAATTTTCTTAATAAATAATTTTTAAATACTAAAATTGAAATATAATTAAAATAATTTTTAAAAAATTCTATCATCAGAATATACACTCGGAAGGGAGGAATTTACATTTATCTTTTAAAAATTAGAACCTTATTTAATTATAAATTAATTTTCCTTCTTTTTTTAATTAATAGAAGAAAGCATAAAGTATTGAATGAATATGTATTTGGACTTACACATTATTTTGATCTCGATACTCTGACTGTAGCCATCGCCCTCGACATTGCTGGCCACGCAGGAATAGTTTCCGGTTTGAGAACGATTTACGTGTCTCAATACAAGATTGTACTGTTGAACAATGACTCCATTTTTCACGTCATTCTGTATCACGTTGCCCTGAAATAATAGAAAAAATTTCATAATAGGTAATTAAATTATTAAGGAAAAGTCAGTAGTATCAATGTGGTTGCGTCAGACACAATATTAATTTTAACAGTAGATGAGTATTTTTATTATGATGAAAAGTGTAGAATTTAGTGAAATTTTTTCAATCAGTAGTAAAAGAGAATTTCAGTCAGCAATTTTGATTTAAACAACTATAATTTTATTGTAAGTAGTAAAAGTATGTTTGCGTCAGACACTATTTTTCTTGGTAATTTTAATTAGGTCACTTTAATTAATTGTACTTTAAATTCAGTAATTTTAATAAAAAGTTCTTTTAATTAGAAGAAAAGTTCAGAAGTAGAGTAACTTATGAAAAGAGTAACTTATGTTTCTAGTAGAAAAAGTTTGTTATTGTCAGACAAATGTTTTATACTTTCTTTGTCGACTAATTAAAATTACTAAAAAAATCATTTTAATGTTTATTTTTAAACAGAAATAAAGTTAAAAAAGTAGAGAAATCAATTTTTTCAGTAGTAAAAGTTTATTATAGTCAGACAAAAACGTTGTATAATTTTAATTTTTAAATAAGTAATAAACATTAGAATTTTGTAAGACAAATAAGTTTTTAACTTTTCTAATTATGAAATCAGTAGTAAAAGTGCAGTTGTGTCAGACATTTCTTTTAAATTTTATATTTTTTTACATACTTTTAACTTTAATATTTTTCAGACTAAAAAATAATTTTAAAAGGTATTTTTATTACAGAAAAAAAGTTAAAAAGTAGGTAAATTATTTTTTTCAGTAGGAAAAGTCTGTTATCTCCAGACAAAACTTTTGACATTGTTTTTTTTTTTAATTAAGTAGTACAAATCGGGTTTGGTCAGACAAATTGTATTTTTACATTTTAAATTCAGAAATCAGTAGTAAAAGATTGTAATAGTCAGACAAAACGTTTGTTCCTTTTTATTTTTAAATAAGTAGTAAAAATCGTGTTCGGTCAGACAATATGTATTTTTACATTTCTAATTATTAAATCAGTAGTAAATGTGCTGTTGTGTCAGACATTTTTCTCTTAATTTTCACATTTTTTACAAACTTTTAAATTTAATATTTTTTAGACTACAAAATTATTTTAATTGCTATTTTTAGAAATAAGAAAGTTAAAGAGTAGGGAAAATAATTTTTTTAGTAGTAAAAATTTGTTATAGTCAGGCAATAAGTGTTCTACTTTTTTATAATCAATTAAGTAGTAAAAATCGGTTATGCTCAGACAGTGGGTGATTTAATCTTATTTAATTAAGAAATCAGTAGGAAAAGTGAATTTACGTCAGACAAAATTTTCCTTTAGGTTCAATACTTTTATCTTTAGTATCTTTAGAACAAAAAAATAATTTTAATATTTTCGTTCAGAGAAATCATTAAATTGTAGAATAATTTTTTTTCAGTAGTAAAAGTCTGTTATAGTCAGACAAAACGTTTTCTACTTTTAATTATCAAAAAAAAAAATTTCTTTCTTTTCTGTTTTGAAACCTTTTTCTTTTATTCTTAAAAATGAAAAAAGTAATTTAGCAGATAATATGAATATATTTTTTTGCAAAAGTTTTTCGTTTCTTTGGCGAGTATAACTAATACTTTCTTTAATATTTTTAAGACTAAAAAATAATTTTACTATTTTTAGTCAAAGAGAAAGATAAAAAGTAGAGTAATTAATTTTTTTCAGTAGTAAAAGTTTGTTATAGTCAGACAAAATGTGTCGTACATTTTATTTTCAAATTAAGTTAGTAAAAATAGGGATTCGGTCTGACAATTGTGATTTTTACTTTTCTAATTATGGAAATCAGTAGTAGAAGTCGAGTTGGGTCGGACGCAATTTTTTCACATTAGTAAAAAAAATTACAGTCTGATAAAAAAGTGTTGTACGTTTTGAGTTTTGTACTTAGTTGTAAAAAAAGCAGTTTTAGTCAGACAATGATATAAATTCCTTTAATTACAAGAATTAGTAGTCGAAGTGCGTTTTAGTCAGACGAGACGTTTTGTATATTCTTCTTTTTAAATTAATCCAAATAACAATAAAAAATATGTTACTAAACGGAAATTGAATAAAGAACTCTAATTAATAATAGCAACGTTCTAAATTGAAAATTTTTCCATTTCCCCTCACAAAGATTTTTTTTTTTTTTGACGTACACACGTCAAAATATAAATATATTATAAGGTCAGATTTATATTCGCTTCGTTATGTACACGGAGAGAAATCTGTTAGGATTAATGCTCGAAACTTTTCATATACTTTTTCCATCGATTCTTTGATGCTAAAATCCTAATAGAGAGCCTATTTATTGCTCGAGTCCGCCTGAATATTAGGCGGAGTCGACTGATATTCAGGCGGACCTCTTCTACTTTTCGCTAGTAAGTGCTTATGCTATATTCATAACCTCTACTCTATGCATTATTTGCAACAGATTTCTCTCCGTGTAGAATTTTTTTTTTAATAAAACATCATGAAGACTGATGTAGAAAAGAATAAAGTTAAAATAAAAAAAAAATTGAAAGTATTTGCGTTACTCATGGTAAATAGATAGATGAAATACGTAGTGGAATGAGTGGAGTTTGAAATTCCAAAAAGGAATGGTAATGTTCTTGTAAAAGTGAAGTTTTTTTTTTTTTTTTGCTCAGAAGGAAAAGTAGTCGAAAGTATAGTGAACGCACAAAGATGCTTTTTCTCTTAGAGTAGAAATGTCGAAGGAATGTATTCTTATGGGAGGAAAAGAAGAAATGAATATTTGTCAGAGAAAAAGGGGCTAAGTTCATGGGATGGTGGAAGGGATGGGAAAAAGGAAACGTTTGTTACGAACATTCTATTACGAGGTATGACGGGACTTATGAAACAAGATCTATATACCATGAGAAAATGTTCGGTATTGAGTGAAGCTAAAAGCTTCACAAATGAGAAGGAACGTTAGGTGTTTCTTTCTTGTTTATAAATACAGTATAAGAAATTTTAATAGCGACAAACAATTCTATATTTATTTACCAAACGGAAATAAATAAATTTAGGAAATGTAAATTTAAATAAATTTTTAGAAACGTAAATAGATAAATTTACGAAACGTAAATAAATAAATTTACCAAACGAAAATAAATAAACTTACGAAAGGTAAATATATAAATTTTCGAAACGTAAATTTGCAAATATTTACCAAGCGATTAACTCACATCGTTGTAGTTTTGTAAATTTACTTTGATTTACATTAAAACGGCAGAAATGTTTAGTACTAGTGGAAAAATTCAAAAAACAAAATTAAATTATTTGGTTAAATAACAAAAAACATTTATTATTACTTACATTGTGTTTCCAAATGACTTTATAAGCCCAAGGGTTAGCATGAACCTTGCACTCAAAATAGACATCATCACCTTCTTCAATGTCATCTGGATTTAATTTCGAACCCAGTTCAAGATGTAAAATTGGAATAACTGAAATAAAAATATATTTACAAATTAGAACTCTTTTCTATATACATTCGTAAGATATGTAAAGATATGATATCTTTTCTATATAATTAGAAAAAATTTATTAATAACAAAAATAATTCAAAAGTGGAAAAAATATATTAATAATAAAAGTAATTTTACAGTAGAAGAATTTAATAATGATAACAATAATTCTAATATAGAAAAAATGTATTAATAATTTAATATACAAATTAATTCTAAAGTAGAAAAAAAATTTATTTAAAATAAAAATAATTCCAAAGGAGTAAAAAATTCGAATGTAACAAAATTAGTAACCTTAAATAATTAACTAGAGTTAAAATTAATTTTCAAGAACTGACCGAAATATTTTAAATATATTTTTTAATGATAAAAAAAAATTCTTGAATCATTAAATTATTTAATTAAATTCCAGACGTATTAAAAAATTGAAAAAAAAAAATTTTTTAGTCTATATTTAATAACGTTGAAATATTTTAATAATATTTTAAATAATTTCTGACAAAAAAAATTATATTATTTCTTCTAATATTATAGACAATGTTCATGAAACAAATATGTACTTTCTTCGTTATTTCATTTCATCTTACTCGTTATTTTTTTTTATTCCTTTTTTTAAATAAAATCTAAAAACTCCCAACAATATATAAAGTTGAAATCGAGCATTTTATATATAACTTTTTCTTTATAAAGTGTCAAACTTTTGTTGAACTATTTTCCGGACTATTTTCAATTTATCTGAAAGGAAATATTTAAATATTTCACATTCAATTTCCTAAAAATATTTTCTCGATATTTTTCTAGTTTCTTCTTTATATTTTTTAAATATTTATATAGAAATCCTATAAATGAAAATTCGATAATATATGGAAAATAAAAATTAGTAAAAAATGACTTTTCCCTGATTCCCTGTGAAATTTTTATTATTTAGGAAAATAATTTAATGTTTGCTTAGAATTTTATCAACATTTTTTTTTAAATAATGGAATTCTTTTGAAAATTTTTATTAAAATAGTAGAAATTGAAAATCCTTGAATTGAGGAAAATAATTGAAATTTTGCAAAGAATTAATATTAAAATTTTTGAAAATAATTGCATTTTGGAGAAGAATTTTATTACTTTTGAAAATAATTGAATTTCTGCAATCATTTGTAACTTCTACAAATTATTATTATTTTTTAAGTAGTAGAAGTAAATTGTTAGTCAGCCGCATTTTAAAAAATAATTATTATTCTTAGAATAATTCTTACTATTATTAGGTATTTTTTCAGTAGTAGAAGTAAATCATTAGTTAGACGTTTTTTTTTAATTATTATTCTAATTATTATTCTAATTATTATTAATATTGCATTTTCGTCTCAGTAGTAAATGTAAACTATTAGTCAGACGAATTTTATTTTTATTACCTTTATTATTATTACTCTTTCTTTTATTATTTTATTTTCGTCTCAGCAGTAGAAGTAAATTGTTAGTCAGACGTATTTTTTAAAATTATTATTATACTTGCAATTATTATTATTATTTTTATCATTTTCTCAGTAGTAAAAGTAAATTATTAGTCAGACGTTTTTTTAATTATTACTGTAATTATTAGTTTATTAAATTTTCGCCTCAGTAACAGAATTAAATTATTAGTCGGATGAATTTTATTATTATTACTTTTATTGTTTTATTTCCGTCTAAGTAGTAAAAGTAAATTATTGGTCAGACATTTTTTAAAATTATTATTATTCTTCCAATTATTATCTTTTCAGTAGTATAAGTAAATTATTAGTCAGACGTAGGTATTTATAAATTATTATTTATTTTTAATTATTATTTTCATGTAAAAATATTAAAAATGCGAGAAAAAATTAATAAAACACACTTTTTCAATTTCAATGTAAAGAAAATATTTCTTTTTACAAAGAAAAAAAGTAATTTAATTAATAAATAAAAAAAAGACAGAGAATTCTAATCTGTTTTGGCGCTTTAGATTGAAAGCATCAAAACACACGGAGTGTTTCAGAAGAGAGAGAGAGTGAAAAAAAAATTCCTCTCAAAACCTCTGAATATGTAGCCCTCGAAATTGGAGTGCGTGGCCGCTCATATATATAAATCGCGAAAGTCGGTTCGTGTTCTATTTTACTCCTCCCCCCCTCCCCTTCTCTACCTGCCATCCCCCCACCACTCTCTTTTTCCCGTTGACGTCTCGTTATTGCGATTACATTCGCGTTTGCGCTTGTATAATCTATATCAATGGTTTCATACCAAAAAAAAAAAAAAAAAAAAAAACCTAGAACCAGGCTATTAATCCGGTCAGTAGATATATTTCGAAGAGCGATTCATTTCACTCAGTCCTATCAATATCAATCAAAAAATAAAAAAAAAAAAAAATAGAAAAAAAAGAAAGAAAATAACATGGAGAGAAAAAATAGTTCAAAAACTCACAAAAAACGTTTAATTTCCAAGAGTCTTCCTCAGCTCCATTATGAACTTTTGAATTGGTTGCGCGACACGTGAGAACCTTGTCGTGGTCCAGTAAAGTTGGCTTGAAAGTTAATATTGAGGTGGTCAAGTTTCCATCGTCCGAAATCTGAAACAGAATGGAAAATGGAGATTTGATATTAATTTTCTTTTTCTATTTTTGACAAAATTATTTAAATTTTGGTATATTGGTTTTATTCTTTGGAGTATTTTGGTGATATTTTTCTTGGAATATTCTGATATTTTTTAACATTTTCTTGGATATTCCACCAATGTTCTTTGTAATATTTCACTAATTTTGAAATATTTCACCAATAGTTTTTTGGATTGTTCAAAAAAAGTTTTTTTGGAATATTTTTCTAATACTTTCTTGGAATATTTTACTAATATTTTTTTGGAAATAATACAACTATTCTGTGGAATGTTATACTATCACATTTTTAATATTCATTGGAATATTTTGATAGTATTTTTTCGAATAAATGCAAATATTCTTTGGAATATTTTTCTAAATACATTTTGGAATAATACTAAATATTGGAATTTGGAATAATACTAATATTAATAATAATTACTATTAATAATACTACTAATATTCTTTTGAATATATTGATAATATTTTCTGGAATATATTATTAAAATTTTTTACAATGAAAGTAATTATTTTTTAAAATTTGTTTTTCAATGTTATTTTGAAATACTTTACTCAAACTACTACTAATAATAATAATAATTCTTCAAATAATTGAATTTTTGCGAAGAATTTTAGCAAATTTTTAAGAATAATTGAATTCTTTTGAGAAATTTAATTGTAATTTTATTGAAAATACTTAAATTCTTTCGAAGAATTTTATTATTTACGAAAATAATTAAAATCTTGATAAGAATTTTAAAAAACTTTTTGAAAATAATTGGAATTTTCCGAGGAATTTATAATTAAAATAATATTGAAAATATTTAAATTCTCATAAAGAGCTTAATTAAAATTTTTCAAAACAATTTGAATTTTTGAGAAAAATTCTATCAAATTATTCAAAATAATTGAATTCTATTAAGAAATTTTATTGAAAATAATTGAATTGCTTCAAAGAATTTCATTATTTATATGAAAATAATTGAATTTTTACGATGAATTTTAGCAAATTTTTAAGAATAATTGAATGAATTTTACTATTTATAAAAATAATTGAAATGTTTCGAAGAATTTATTAAAATTTTAAGAAATAATTAAATTGTTATGAAGAATTTTATAGAAATATTTGATAATAATGAAATTTTTTTGAGAAATTCAATTAAAGTCGTTTCGAAAATAATTGAATTTCTTTAAAGGATTTTATTAAAATTAAGCATATTCAAAATAATTGAATTTCTTTAAAGAATTTTATTATTTTTTGAAAATAATTGAATTCTTTCAATTTTTTTGGCGAATATATTTAAAAATTGCATTGAAAGTATGTAATTTAATTTTTATATAGGATTTTTTAAAAAATATTTTTAGAATAATTAAATTATTTTTAGAGAATTTTAAATTCTTGTTGTAATTGAATTTTATGGAAATTTTTGAAAATAATTAAATTCTCTTATGTAATTTTATTTAAACTTGATTAAAAATAATTTAATTCCTGCAAAGAATTTTAGTATTTATAAAAATAGTTGAATTGTTTCGAAGAATTTCATAAAATTTTAGGAAATAATTGAAATTTTTCGGAAATATTTAAAAATATTTGAATTCATCCGAGGAATTCAATTAGAATTATTTTAATAATAATTGAATTCCTGCAAAGGATTTTACTATTTATAAAAATAATTGAATTATTGCGAAGAAATTTTACTATTTATAAAAATAATTGAATTTTTTCGAAGGATTTATTAAAATTTGAGAAAAAAAAATTGAATTTATTCGAAATGTGTTAAAATTTTTTTTAATAATTGAATTCTTCGGAGGAATTTAATTAAAATTGTTTTGAAAATCATTGATGTGTGAAATTTTATTAAAATTTTTGAAAATATGAACAGTAATAATTAATTTTGTACTTATTAGGTGAATATTATTTTTTGATATTTAATAGTAATAATTAGTTAATAGTTAATAGTATTGATTAGTGAATATTTAGTGGTAATATTTATAGTTGATATTTATCAGTAATAATTAGATTAAAGTAAATACTAAATATTATTGATTAGTGAATATTTAGTGGTATTAATTAGTCGATATTTAATAGTAATATTAAAAGGAACAATAATTAATTAAAAAAGCGTTTGTCGAGCGTAAATTGAGAGTGACTGCAGGTTCAGCGAGAATGTAGCCCCCTTGTGCCTGATGACATTGCCTTTAAGCCATTGGTCGAACATTTTGCACTTCGCGAACGCGCTCCAATTACTGTTTTCCGCTCCCAAGCTGACGATAAACGTCTCCAATCCAATGGGTGGTTGGGCTAGTCATTAAGACTCGGCACCCAGATTAGCGCCAATTTAAACTAAGCTATAATGCGCCAAGTTCCCTCGCTACACAGGACTCCTTATAGACTCAATTAGGTCCATGGGTATGAGTAAAATCATCGCTATGTACCTTTTTCCCTTATACCAAGAACAGTATAACTGCACATGAATATGGCTAATTAAATCGTTAAATTGAATTATAATAACTACCAAAAATAAATATGTCTTTAGAAATAGGATTAAAGCAAATTTTCTTTTCATAAAATAAACTAATCTTTTGCAATAGTAATTTTTTTTTCTTTTTTAGTTTTCTTCAGTTTATTTCTTTCTGTAATGAAGAGAAGAGGAAAAAAAACTCAAAGACTAATTTTTGTAATTTCCACTATTGAATAATGAACACGATAAAAGTTCAAAGTTTAATAATAGGTTTAATACTATAGTAACTTTTCAGTATTCTCGATCAAAAATTAGTATTGGATTTTTTTCTTTCTCTTTTTTTTTTTGAAAAAAGTAATAAAAAGAATATATTTCTTTGCGAATTGGAGAGACTTTGATGAAACTTTGTTCGGGCGTTTCTTACGTTAATATCCTAAAAGTTCCAATCAAAATTGGAAAAGTTTGAAGACCCTTTTATCTCTCATGATGGTGTTTATCACAGATAAAGAAAAAAAGAAAGAAAAGGAATCCTTGAATAGAGGGTACTTGATGTCGATGTTGATGGCTGAACTGGGATTTTTTTTCTACTTCTTCTTTCATTAATATTAGATTGAAATAAACGTAACTCGAATTATACAAGTTCATATCGGTATTTGCATCGTTGTCATTAGTGTTTCACTCAGACACGCCATACTGCAATTATATAGGATAAAAGTGATGGTTTCGTGATTACTTCATCACACTCAATCTCTATACACTTTCATTTCTCGTCAAATTTATATGATTTATTTTTCAATTCGTTTTCTTTCAATATTGTGTTTTTGATTTTGATTTTCATAATAATACTGTTATAATTATTGATAATAATGCCAATAATAATTATCAATAATAATGCTAATAATAATTTTTAAATGTAATTAACTATAATAATCTGATAATTCTGGCATTCATTCATTCTGTCAGCAGTTTGAAGTTAGTTTTTGTGTATGCTTTTTTTTTCTTTAAAAAATATTGTTTGACAAATCGAAAATATTGTTACTGTAACTTTTTCAAAATTATTTTCATCATTTTAGTTCAATTATTGTATTCTAGAATTTTTTTACTAAAATTCTTCTCTAAATCAATTATTTTTAATAATTTTTCGACAAAGTTCTATGAGAATTTTTAAATGCATTTGTTTACAATTAAATTTTACGAAATTTCGATTATTCAGAAATTCATCAATTAAATAATTTTGTTTACGCAATTTTTTTTGTAACAATATTTGAAAGCATTTATCAAATATAGGCTTTTTTCATCAAATTAGAGCTACTTTTTATTAAAGAAGAGCTTTTCCCGAAACACGGAGGTACTTAGAACTTTTTTATAATTTGCTTCTGATTCAGAAAAAATTTGTATCTTGAAAATCGACGATGGTCTTGACAATTTTTGGAAGCAATTATCAAATTTTTTTTTTTTTTTTATCAATTTAGAGCTTTTTTTTTATTAAAGAAGAGCTTTTTTCGAAACACAGAGGCACTCAGAAATTTTTTAGTTTTTATTACCGATTCAGAAAAAATTTGTGTCTTGAAAAACAACGCTGATTAAATAATAAAAAATTTCAATAATTTCAAAAAAAAAAATTCAATTAAACTTTTTCAAAAAAATTAATTCTACAGAATTGTCAGTTAAAAGTATAAAAAATTCATATTTTCAAAGATTTTAATTTGAAATCCTTTCAAAATTCAATTATTTTTAAAAATCCACGCTCTAATGCTTTTAGTATTCAATTGTAATCTAAAATTTTAACTGAAATTAATTTTTAAAAATAAATTCTTATTAGAAAAGTTAATGAGAATTTAATTATTCAAATACAAAAATAAACAATTTATTGAATAACTGAATGTTTTTTTTAAATTTAATTTTAAGAATTTTATCAACAAATTTTTAAATAATTGAATTCTTTGATCAAAATTTAATAAAATTTTTAAGAATAATAACATTTCTCAAGGAATTCGATTGAAATTGCATTAAAAATAATTAAAGTTCTGCTATGAGTTTTATAATTTATGAAAATAATTAAACTACTAAAAAAATGTAGGTATTATTTATGAAAATAATTGAATTTTTCATAAATTGTATTATTTATGAAAATTATTGAAATATTGCGAAGAAATTTATAAAAAAAAAAATTGGTAATTGAATTCCTGTGAAATTTTTATTATTTTTTAAAATAATTAAATGTTTGCGTAGAATTTCATAAAAATTTCTAAATAAATAAAAAATACTAAATAATGAATAATTGAATTCTTTAGGAAAATTTTATTAAAATAGTAGATATTGAAAATCATTGAACTGAGGAAAATTTTTAAAAATAATTTAAATTTTGACAAGAATTTTATTAAAATTTTTGAAAATAATTGAATTTTTTAGAAGAATTTTATTATTTATAAAGTTAATTAAAATTTTGACGAGAATTTAAAAAAATTTTTGAACATAATTGAATTTCTGCGTAGAATTTTATTACTTTTGAAA